GGCTTGCCTTGCAGGCTGTTGCTCCTCCTGCCTGCAATACCTTAGTGACTCAGTGGCTGCAACAGCTGAAGACATGGCAAAAGTCAATAGGTGGAAAATATGTCTACTAGTTTAGATTTAGCAGCTGGAGATAAGTAGGAGGGGCTGTCAAACATAAACAACCCTTTTCTGCAGTCCATGATGCAGGACCTTCATTGATTTGGTGAAGAAATGGGCACTGTGAGGAAACCTCTGAGAACTAAATTAGGGAAAATTTAAAGCATGGTGGGGAGAAGTTCATCTGAGGCTAATTCTCTCCACTACTAGTCTCAGTGAAAGCATTAATTTTGATTCTGCTAAATGGTTCAAAGTCTAGATACTAAAGTTAAAGTTTTTGCAAGAGTACCTTGGAGGTATGAAATTGTCCCCTGCCCCTCCTTACCATTTACATTTTAAAACTTAATAAATACTCTCCCTTCTCTGAAACAAGAGGTAAAATGAAATTAGAACCACCTTAAAAGGTCACTTAGGAAAAGAAAGTTTTAATCCTCTCTAATGAAGCAGAGAATAAAACAGATAAGGTAGTTTTAATTCATGGAGGGACCAAAACTTTAAAAGAAGATTTGCACGTGTACTCATATCTGTGCTACCTTGATTCTGATTATAGCTTCAGTTTGTTAGGATCTGGTGCCAGAAATATGCATGTCAACATCTGGCCTTCCCCCTGGAATAAGTAAACTATACCAGATGAGTGTAGCAGAAAGGCTACAACACTAAGATGCCTTGGACAGAGCAAACAAAAAAATGTTTTCAAGTGAAATTCTTAAGTTGATTGTTTGCTCATTAGCGATCTATGCAACAAAAGATCAGAGGGGAGTTGGTGTCACGTGGCTTTAAATAATTTAGAAGCAGAAACAATTGCTGGAGACTGCTTGAGCAAAATAAATAAATAAGTTCAAGAGAAGCATCTGGCTCAATCTGACTGCCAAAAAATCAAATAATAATGGAAAAAGAACCTTCTTTTACGTGTCTATAAGAACATTGGCCCTGAAGGTGCATGAGTTGGGAATTTTTTGCAGACTTCTCTTTGCCAGCTGAAGCTATCAGATTACTTATATCCTTTAACTAAAGGATTTTTTATTTTTTTTTTACTAAAGGATATAAGTGTGTGGCCAGGGAGGGAAAAAGGACTAGTAACATTGGTTAACATAGAAAACAGAAAGTGATGTGCTCTAAAATTAGTGCTGCAATTATGACAATTTACCAGGATTGTTTACAAGTTGGTATTGCTGACTGAGCAGGGATGGGTGTTACAGGTCTATTTCTAAAAAAGGAAGAAGAGGATTTTAAGAGAAATACTGTATTTGATCTCTCAGTATGTAGGAGAAAGGATTTGATGGGCTGAGAGTGTGAGGAGGACCCTAGTAAGACTGAAACTATCCAGCATGGATAGATAGATCATCAGGAAATTGTAATCTAACCAGTCTCTCAGTCTCTATTTTCTTTTTTTTTTTTTTCTTTCTCCTGTTTTTAAAGTATTGAAAAGTTCCCTTAAAGCAGAGTTTAACAGGAGGGTGTCTATACTGCACCATCTGACCAGAGCAGGTTCTACACCAGAATAACCCTGTTGACTTCAAGGGGCCATTTTAATGGAGATGCAAATTTGAGCTAACAAGTTTAAAGAAAAGCCATACAAATGAGAGTTCTATCTGTAAATGCAACCCAGTGCAAGCTCGCACTGAAGTGGGCAGGGCTGCTCTCTCCTGCTGTACCAATACAGGGCAGGAAAAAGCTTTATAGAAATGACCTGGCATGAAGTGTGACATAGCTCTATACAAGCAGTCATGGATCTCAGTGGACCTAAGTTCAGTCTGACTCTGCTCTGTTTAGGGAGAGGCATTGGCATGTAAAAATAATTCTCTAGATGACCAGAGGGCCCTGTTTCTTTGTCTAGCAGAAGTCATTAATTAAAGCAAATGGTTACCCCATCCCTAAATATATTTTATTATTTTTGAATCTGTAGGTATGCAGATATAAAACTTGTAAAGGGAGAAACCAGTTTCATGTTTACATTCTGGAGGTTGAAATGAATACTGACTGATTGCTCCTCTCCTGAAACTTCAGTTAATGGCTATTAACCTTGCTTCAGATGAAAAAAAGAAGAAAAAGCAAACAAAGTCAGACATGAATTGGGAAATGTGTTTGTCTGTGTTAGTAAAAAATCCTGTGTGGTCTGAACAGTGTTTTATAAAGCCTAGGGAATATTTCACAAGATGTCATTTTCAAATACTACTATTTGCCTCCACTGAAGATCTCCCTGAAATTCCCTGTTACTTACTCCCATGCACAGAAAACAAAGTCCTTAATGGTTGATGCTCTCCAGACCCTTTCTAAGAACCTTCTGCCTTATCAGTAACCTTTTCTGCACTGTCAGGAAATCTACAGTTGCAGGCAGCTCTGAAATCTCCCAGGTCCTAATCTAAACACAGAGCTTTATTAATCACTGAGCATACTGGTCTGGGTTTGCTGGTCAAAACAAAACCAGGCATTCTGAAATACTAATTTGTTGATGTAGCCCCAACTAACATTTCAAGAAAGAGCTGTAAAAATATCTGGAAAATGTGTTTCATGTGTCTGCAGCAGCAATCGCCTGCTTTACCCTATGAAGAGGGCCCCATTTGAACATTATGTTGTAAGTATGTTTTCATGCCTAATTAATACAATTAGGCTTAGATGAATGGTCAAGAAGCAGGTGCTGGTAGATGTGTTGAGGAGTTATATTTTGTAGTCTCCAGCTGCGTTGCACTTTGCACTTTCAGGTGGATGCCTGATGCTCAAATAGCACTGGAATCTGCTCGGGGCACTTTGCTACCGTTGCCTTCCTGCCTTTTCCTTCCCAGACAGTTGCCTTTTAGAATGTAGCTGGAAAGATCAAAAGCATTATTACTGTAAAAATCACTGTGAAATTAAAAGGGATAGGAATCAGCCATTTGTATAGCAGATTCTTTTCATGTCTCTGCATAGACGTGCCAATTACCTTTCTTTTTTCTCAGCCAGAGATGTTAACCTGTGCTGCTTTTATCTCGGGATCTCTGCCCAAGTTTCTAAAGTGATTTGTGGTCATTTGAGATCTTTCTTTCTGTTTGTCACTTGTTCCTGGGAGGAAGAGTGGCACTGATGGGAACCGTCTTGCTATTTATAGACTGTCTCGGTGTTATGTCTCCTGCGGTTATGTAGAGGAGGCAGCATACTGTCTATTTACTTTACTTTTAGACCACCTGTCTCTCAGCCTGAGTTTTGTGGACATCGTGGACTTGCTGCTGAGAATTTTTGTCTGATTTCTTTTAGATTACTTTTTTTTTATTTTTTTGAATTTTTTTTTTACACAAGTGCATTATATTGATCACTAGGGTCTTGTCTAGCCCTTTGTTTTGATGCATTTGGGGTCCTGGTTACTGAACATTTAGTCTGACCTTTATGGGTGGGAATGGAGATCCTTTCAATAGGATCCAGAACAAGTGGGGGACTTGATGCATGCCTGTATATTACCCATTACAGACACAGGATTCAGCTAGACACAGGATTCAGCTAGACAAAGTGCCTGTGTCAGGGAATTGGGACTTGCTCCTGGGTACAGAAGATTGCTGCACTTTCTCTGTCCATCTTCAGTTATTCACCTAAGCTTCTCTGCCACATTTTTCACAGTTATATTAGCTCATATTTTTGGCTTTAGTAAAGCTTTTACTGCATTATAGGAGAGGATCTTATAACTGCAACATAAAAATGAACACTTGGCTCCTTTTAAAATGCTCAGACTGAACTCTATTAATCTGTAGATAGAGGGCATTCAGCTCCAGAAATAAAGTTGTGAAGTCCTTGGATAAAATTCTCTCGACTTCCTTTAATGTTATGCTAACTGAGACCTGTTGAGGGAACAGAATTAACTTATGCAATTAATTCTTACTAAAATAAAGGTAATAGCAAAGCTTGCATTCAATATCTAATTAAATCTTTTCCTAATGCTGTATACCCATTTGTAACATGTGAAGCCTGACTTTAGTCTCCTGGGAGCAGGCCAGTAAAGAATAGCATTACAAATATTTATTTACTTCTCTTGTCCCTTACTGGCTTTATTTTAATGGGTGTGCAAAACCGCATGAAAGCTACAGGGGAGAAAAAGCCCCCCGGGAAACCCTTTGTATCAGGATGAATTGGAAAAACAAACTCTACGGTGCTTGTTTGCCATGAATCACTTTTCACATCACGTGTGGAAAATGAATGAGGCGCCTGTGAAGCTAATTCCCTTTGTCCCAGTTGTAAAGCAGATCGGCACAATAGGAGAGGCACAAGGCCAGCAAAGCAAGAGGTGGAAAGCAGACACCGTTCAGTGAATTCATTTTTCAGTCATTCCAGTGCCACTTGCTCCTTTTTTTTCCTCTACAAATATAAAGAACAAATAAACCCTATGGTCCCTGGGAAATGCGTCTGTTAAGTGTGGCTGCTGAAGTCTCACTGAGCACGGTGGCAATGGCAGAGAACATGAATCCTTCCCACTGTCACGCTTGGTCCCTTGTCACACCAAGTGAGAGGACAGAAAGCACATCACCACAGCCTCACTGCACATTAGGAAAACAGCAGATCAGTGCATTGAAGAGTCTGTGTCATCCCGGGGGTAAAAAAGATAAAGATCTAGGGTCTTCCTCTTTTTTTTTCTTTAACTTCAAGTTAAAAATCTTAGTCGTCTCTTTCATGCTGAACTGGATTTTTGACAGGTGTTTATTATTCTGAATTAGGTTACATTATTTCCTCTTTATTATGTTCTAAGTACAGTTAGATTTGTGTGTGTGTGTCAACCAAACCAGCAATATTTGAAAGACTAAAAATATTCTATCTGTGAAACACAGTGCTGTCTTGGGAGTGTAACCCTTCCATTCATTGCCTGGTTTATAAGCCTCTCTCACTGTACAAGCACAACTTTGTTGCCCAGTTAAAAGGAAAATGGAAATTTTAAAAAATCTCACCACAGCTTTTGTAATATATTTCCAAGTTGTCCTCTTTGCAGACTGTGTGCGTAGGCCACTCTGTGCTGGCATTGATGTAAAGCAGGACTAAGATGAGAACAAGAACATTTGATGTCTTCATGTTGGTGGTGGTAGTTTACAGGATTACTTCTGTCTGTCTCTTCTGTAAGCCTCTGTGGAGGGAGGTGTTCCTTCCCTTGAGACGGGAGTTTTACTACATTTGCGCCTGCAGAAGGGTTAAGTCAGCCAATGCAGCCTTAGCTTACCACAGCGTGGTATAAACGAAGCTAATCGGAATTGGACAGTGCTATTTCCGTGTGCTTAGACTTCTGCTTTCTGCTTCATGTTAGTTCAAACTAATGACAAATGAGCTAATCACACCTACTCACTGCACAGCATAGCCCTGCCTCGGCGCCTGCTGGAACAATGCAGCAAACTATGTAGTTTTTCTCTCGCTGCCGGTTTCTTCTCTTGAAGTTAAAGCATTTGGGTCAAGATTTCAGACAAGCTTATTTAGTTATTCTGGCTACAAAACATTGTGATCCAAATCAGCCCATCTTAATCATGCAAAGTTAGACTAAATTTTGCAAGATGGACAGTTTGGTTTCTATCTTCTTCTTAGTAAAGAATCTGTCTGCTAGAATGAAGGGAGGTGTGTCTGAAGCTGACACCAAATAAGCAAGCCCTGAAACTTACAGGAACTAATTCTTCCTGCTTGACTATGCTAAATGCTGCATTTACATTTGTTTTGTTTAGTGGTTCTTAGGTATGTACTATTTAACAGTATACCCAATCAGGTAAACCTAGACTTATATTTTTTTTTTCTTTCTGTCTTCCTGGTTAGTGACACTGTGCACTTGTCATTCACACTAGGTTTTTTTTAAAAGCTGTGCTTTATGTAAAAACTAGTGGCTGTTGCAGATGACAGGTTATGATCAGCAAGGAAAGGAGGGAGTGTTGCTGCATCTCCTGCAAACTTCTCCAATTCAGTTTAAGTTCCAGGACTGGAATAAAATTTCAAACTGCAGTTGCGAAAAAGGTCTTTCCTGGACAGAGCACCAACTTGAAAAAAGCTACAAGCTAAATTCAGCCCTAAAGCAAATGTCTGCAATAGTCTTCTCTGAGCTGGAGACAAGGAGAAATTGTCTCTGTGGCATGATAGAGTTGGATAAAAGATCACTTTGGACATCTCAGTCCTTCTTGCTCCAAAGGCTTGAGTATAATTTGCTCTGTCACTGAGTAAAGTTGAAGAGGGGAAAGACTACGTACTTTAGCAAACAGGAGAGCACCTACAAGATAATTACAAAATAGTGCTAAACAGTAGAGCTGTTTCTTGGGCAAAATTCTGGCCTGAGCAAAGGTAATAAATGTAATCCCATAGATTAAACAGGGGGCCAAGATTTCAACTATGATGTATTAAATTTAAAAGCCAATTCAGTGCAGTCCAAGAGACCTTGCTTTGAATAATGAAGCTTGGGCCTGCTTCATGTTTTTGATACTATCATAATGGTAAACTATATGTCCAGAGCCAGGGTGAGAATCTGGGCAACTGTCCTTAGGCATGGAACATGTGTGAGTCATGTAAAGAGATTTGGGTTACAGATCTGTCTGGTTTGACTGGACTTTGTTTGCACCCAGCAGATAGCTGATGAAAGCAAGCACAATTGCAAAGGAAACAGTAAGGAAAGACAACATCTAGGATTACTGTAATACATTTAAAGTAGAATCATGTAAAGTAGAAGTCCCTTCCCACTAAGGTCTACAAAGTCAGTGAAAATTGGATATAGCAATTTATTACAAAGTACTTCAGATCAGGACTGTGAGAACATAACCTCCAGATTTCTTCTAGGAATGGCATCATCATGGTCCTTCATTTAAAATGTCAGCTTCATGCTCAATAACAATGAACAAAGCAAATCAAATGATAGAACAAATGCTTCAAAGAGATACCCACTGGGAATCACTAAATAAACAAACCAAATCAGGCTCAGGGCCTCTCCGGAGATGATAAACATTGGAAGCTGGGAAAATATGTGGGAAAAATAACATACATGCTTGTCCCGCTCTCTTACTCTTTGTTCATGCCTGTTGTTTACACTGCTGGGAACAGATTACTGGGTTAAATGGAGCCTTGGTCTGGACCAGAATGGTCTACGTGGACACTGGGCTTGTTCTTCACCTGCCCTTTCCTCTGCCCACCCTATCCTGTTGGAACAGTGTTGCTAGTGCTTGCAACTTTCAAAGTGCTGACTCAAAAGCAGTCTGTTGTCTTTGCAGAAGCCCCGTGGTACCTGCTCAGCAGATATCCAGGAGTCTGGGCCTTGCCTTGCAGAGATTTCAGTCTAAACACAAGGAGACAGCCAGGGAAAGTGGAACAGCGTTGGACTTTCAGGATACAAGTATTCCTGCTTCTCTGAAAGCAGGATGGCTGGGGTAGATCTCCTAGTGGAAAGCAAATATGCCTCTGTAGATGAGCTCAGGAGCTTTGCTATGCACCGGCAAGTGCCTGTACCATTTCTCCGTCTGGAGCATAGACTCTCTCTTGCTCTTTTGAGACAGCTACTTCATCTTTTTTTTTGGCAGTGCTCCTGACACTGACTAAAAATGACAAGTCACAAGATTTTTATTTTGAGTGTGAGGTTGGAATGTGCATCTCAAGCAGTTTTTTGGGTGGCCAATGTTCTGAGGGGAAACAGCCATGACAGCTAGTGTTCTGGAAGGCCATGCTGTCGCTTACACTTTGCCCCACCATGTTGTTCTCAATGGGAAGGGAATTTTACTTTGAGTGGTTCAAGGTTACAATGTGTACTCCAGACACTGTTTTACCATTTCATTCCCCATGTAATGCTTATATCTCCTAGAAGGAGCTCTATTACCAACTCCATCTGTTCTGAGAACTGCTTTCCCTTCAAACAGCCGAAGCCTGTAGGATGAGAAACTACATCTAAACGAAGTGGTATCAGTGCTGGCAGTGGGAATTCTGTTTTTGGCAGGTTGGTTAGCTGGCCAACAAGCATGTTGCTTTATCTGCCTGATTGAAGGCTTTGACCATGGAGATAAGCAGCTCAAAAATGCCTGTAATGCTTTTACTTAAAAGGGGCAGTGGCTTCATGTATCTAGAGCACTCTTCACCTTGTTTGGATGCTTCTGCAGTATTAAAGAGTGGAAAAGCCTCTTGTTTCTTATCTGTAATATAATTGGGAAGAGTAGAAGATACAAAGATAGCAGACTAGTAAGCAGATAAATCTTACATCAATGTCTGTGACTTCTTGGGTTGGCTGATACAAGGTTTCTGATTTAACCGTATCAGCAAATCACCCCTCTACCCCACCCCAAAGTATCTCATACTGCTAGCCTCTCATACCTATAACTAATAGCCAGTACCAGCTTCCTGGAGAAAGTATAGCAATAAAGAGGTGTTTGGGTTTTTTCATTGTTGTTGTTCCTTGTTACTTCAGGGTCCAATTCTCCCCTTTCAGATTGCAGTCTTATTTTGAGTCATAACTGGTTTAACAGATAGCAACCTCTATTGATTAAATGACATACTAATAAGTAGCATAATTATAGATGTACTATTAATAGATACACTTATCCTTAATTTACCATTGTATCATTTTGCACAGCTACAACCAAATATAAAACTAATTCTCATTCTCAGATCTTGCAAATCACAACCAACTGTTTTATTATAATTCTGTCACCCTTCCCACCCACACTACTGTCCCTCTGTACTTGCCCTCACTGAGTCTGAGGCATGGACGTGATGGAGAGTTGCATGGGTTGTCTGCAGAGGTTCTCGTCAGTGTCCTGGTGGGCTTGGGTGCACAGGTAGCTTCGGTGCCTGCACTCCTACTGTCAGAACATCCCACCTTCTTTTGTTCTTTGACTGATTTTGTCTTATTCCCCCTTATTTCTGTTGCAGGACTCATTCTTTTTTTTCCTTACCTTTACTATTTCCCTTTCTTTACCCCAATTCTTTGCAAACAAGCAGTCCACCTATTTTCTTTTCCTCATTGGTCTCAATTCTGCTGCATCTGTACTCAAATTTGATGTTTCCAACGCCTTTCCTCAGGCAATGTTGGCATTATGGGGTATTACTGATGCAGTTACCAAGGCACAGGCGGCCTCCTAAGATTACATCCCAAAACTGCCCTACAATTATCTGGTTCATACTGGCAGTGTTGGGGTTTTTTGTGTTTTTTTTGTTTGTTTGGTTTTTTTTGGTTTGTTTTTTTTTTTTGGACTTCATACACCCACTGAGGCAAATTATTCTACTTTAGCCATAATCCTCTACCTACCTCCAGTTGATGCAAGTGGTTTCATATCTGAGGCACAGCCTGCGTACTAGAGCTATGTGTTTTTCATTCTCTGTTTTGTGCTTGCACAACATCCTTACCCTTGAATTTTTTTACTTACCCTCTTGGTTCCCTGCAGAGGTTTAGCTGGTCATGAGGCTTGTTACTCCCACGGGGCCTCTTGCTTGTGTTCGTACAACTGCACCTACACTGTGACTTTTGCCAAAATCGTTATGGGTATGTTGTTTTTCCTATGCTTCTAGCCAAGTTTTTGTTTGCAAAACTTTTTCAAATGTAGACCTGGATAGTGCTTCACCTGATCTCAGCAATGGAGTTTCCTCTTAAGAGTTTCTTTTATTTAAAGTTCTTTTTTTCTCTATTGTGCAATCCAGTATAAGGTGAGTCCTAACCAAAGTTTAAGTTCTTTCTTTCACGCCAGAATTTATTTATTTTTTTCTCCTTTGGCTTCTTTGTATACTCCTGTATCATACAATGAAACATTTCAACAGGGAGAGCTTCACATTAAAAGCTTCACTGGTTTATCTTCTTTTTTTTTCTTGCAATTCTTGCTGAACAAAAGCTTTCTGCTTGATTTTTCTCAGCATGGGTCTCCCGCTAGTGAAAGTGAGTGAAAATTTCTCAGCAAACTGACAAGAGTTTTCAGAGGCGATACCTTTACTCTCTGTAAAAGTCAACTTTTCTTACTGTGCTTGTAATAGGGCATTTAATAGTTTGTTTAAACAACAAGGCCTAGAAATGTAATGCAAGCTAATGTGCCACTGCCCCTGTTTCCAGGTGCTCCTGAGAGAAGGTGAGTTTTGTTTTCTGAGATTTTTGAAGTGCTGCATTGCCAGCAGCATGCCTGA